TTTTATGAGAAAAGCAGGAAATAACAATTAAGAGAAGCGAGTCATGCGAGAGTAAAGAAAATAAAAATCTTCTGTTCTGATCGTGACAAATCCTTTTGTCGTGATTGTTTTAACAAGAAACATCACGTTATGCAATAAATGATTCAAAAAATAGCGAGGACAGAGCAGAGAGCATATTATGTGTAATACCTTGCCTAAGAAACAAGAAAAAGAAAGTGTTTTCGTATTCATTTTCTTGTTGAAGTATAATGGGATCTACCGGTGGATCCCATTGTGTCGAACGTGTTATTGAGACTGAACATAATGTTGATGCAACATTTTAATTGATATTATATGAGGATTGCAGCGAGACCTTATCTTTTTGATTCAAACTTCACTCTTGGTAGTTTCAATAAAATGTTAAAATCCGAATCCGATTCACTCTAAAAATACGGCATACTTGTTTCCAAGTATTTCTATTCAACGAATAGCTTGCCTAACATATTTCTTAGGCAATTTCAAGAAACTGATATTATTTTAATAGATTCGATCTTTGGAATGGATCATGTATCAATAACATTAGATAAAAATAAATATGTGAAACTTCGACACGTTTGTAAGGAGGATTCTCGTGCATGGAAATAACAAAATATTTAAATGGTTTTTTATTTTGTTGAAACTTTTCATACGAAACAATTTGTTGTTTGGACACACATTTCAATTCATGCTGTTAAAATTGAGATAACTTAGCAAAGTAGAAAATTAATTGTTAAAAGATATATTTCAGTTTTGTTTTATTTATGCCATATGATCTTCACTAATCGTTTCAATTAGTGATATTGTCATCCTAACCGCACATTGTCACAATAACGAGAACGAAAATGATAAATATCAAAGTTGGTATTTCAAACAAAAACAGATACAGTTATTTATTTAATGAACTTCATCTCAATGAAATAAGAAAACATATGAAGTTTTTTCTTGAAAAACTTAAATAAAATTACTTGGCCATATTATTTAAATGATGAGAAATGTTTCTGCATTTTCCATTTAGTACTGTTTTATACAAAATTTGCTCCATGAAAAGAAAATGGTTATCTGTTTTCCATTATTCAATATAGTAGTACTATTTTACTCTAAAGATTGAAGCAGGAATAAACTTTCATCGCATCGAATATTTTATATCTATTTTTCGCGTTTAGTGGATAAAAAACTAGCATTGGTAAGAGCTGTTTTCTTTTAAAAATTTTCTTATTTCAAAATCGCCTGAAAATGTTTTAAAGATATTGAATCAAGTAGTTTTTTCGAAAATTTTTGACTAAAAAGATACGTAAGTGTGTTAATAATAAGGGCACAACCTATCTGCGTCTTCTATCGGTTATGTTATGTGAGAGCATTCGGTCACAATATGGCTAGACGCTCTAATCTAATAAACAATGATAGCTGCTTGCTCACTCTGTCCTTTTGCTTCGTCTTTCTCTCTTCTTCTTCTTTTCATGTCTCGTATATAAGCTCGTGTTCTATGTGAAGCAAACACAACTGGAGGGATGCAGTAGTGTAGAGAACCAGAGATTCGCCAATCAGACTCGTATTCTAACGTACGCTTATGAAACATTGAGCAAGCTTGTGCAGATCGGGTATCATGCCACTCCATGGATTAGGATGTTCTTGGCGAACACTGAAGATACGAATTAGCCAAGCCCAAATGAGTTCACAGAGCAAAATTTGAAAGAGACGTGCGACACGCGTGATAACGCTGTTCCTCCAGTTTGTCAATGTTTATCAAAATAAAATACATGTTGCAATAGTAACGTAAGAGAACGTCATCACATTCCTCTTTCATTTTTTGTTACAGTAAATATTAGTATTAATCTACAACTAAGATGGAGTTTCGCATAGATAACGACTTTTCGTACGCAATCCGAATCGCTTTCAATAGATAAATAAAATGTTTAGCGTACTCTATAATGAATATGAATGAAATATTACAAGTGCACGCTCCTCTTGAATGGAAATTCTTTGCTGTCTCATGAGTTACCCACGATCATACATTAAAACCTACCTTTGAGCAGAACTGGGCAAGTCAAACGATTTCTCAAGTCGAGTCAAATTATGTTTGCCATTGTTTTTCGTTTTCTGTTTTTCTTTATAACAAATGCTAACTACAGTTCTTTCATTACACGATATGTAGTTTTTAGTTGATGTGCATAAAAACAAAACTTAGAAGTTATACGTAAAATAAAGTGCTGCAATTACTCCACATTACTAAAACAAAAATAAACCTAAACAAAAATCCTTTTACAAGTAATATTTATTTATTATCATTAAATTGATGTCTTATTGCGAATTAAATATGCTAACATAAATATTAGCTGCTGTAAAAATTGCATGATTTCTTCTCATTAAAACACTGTTTTGAAAAAATACATTCAACTGGTATTAATGTAGCAGAAACATGCATAATCTTTCTAGTAAGCTTATTAAGAGATCGGTATGCATCTATTTTCTTCGAAATAAGATGGTGGGTATGAATGAGTAGAACATTATACATCGATCCCTTTTGTTAAGAAATAACAAATGTAAAATGGATGATAGAAACATTTCGTGATCAACATTATCTTTTTATAATGATCAAAACTACTGTCGCTCAATAATTATACTACAATATGAGAAATAATATGATGTGTGATACCATGTAAAGCTTTAATTCATTTCATTACATACATGTGCATACCTGCCAAAGATTAGCAGAAGAAAACGAGAAAAAACGCACGTATTCAATAATACACGGAGGCTAACATTGAAGATCATAATAAAACATAGATCTAGAGAAGCTCCAGAAATAATAATTCGAATTAATATATTCAATTAGGACGAAAGTTTTGATAAGATGACAATTTAATCCTATAAATTGGGATTCATTTTAATAAGAGCAAACAAAAATTTTTGCAAATGAATGACTCGAGTTCGTCAAGCCATGCATAAGGATGTTTTTCAGAGCAAACTGAAAAATTCAGGAGTGTTGTTATGGGAAGGACCATATAGAGAGCGCAATACTTCCGCCTGCTTTTGGAATTCGACAATGTCAAATCCCCTCTCCCTAGCTTGAGAATTCAATGGCCTAAAGCTTCTTTTATTTCATGTAGTCTTCAATAATTATGAAATATTAAAAATTCATATTGTGAAAACAAACGGAATGCATAAGAAACTCAATCGATCCATGAGACTTTTCAGGGCCGATGTTAAAAAATGATACATAGAATAGAAGAACACAACATGGTGAAAATTTCAATATTAAAATCAAGATACTTGAATAACATTTCAAAGTTTGTGCTTACACTCTGAATATGAAATGCATGGGTCACCTGTATAATGCTGTTAAAAGAAGATTGTAAAACCATAATTCATGGTTCAATCTGCATTCGGCAGTCCTTCACTTAGGCTATAGTTTGAACTTCATAAATTGCTTTTAAGCTTTTCTTCAAAGAAAGCTTGGTTGTTTAAACACTTAAACATTTTTGCTTTGATATATAACTGAATAGAACGCTGATGTCTCCTATCGATTTACATGATTTTAATCAGATATAGGTGATGTCTCAATAATGAATTTTCTCGAAAAGTAATATACAGGATGGCCCAGAAATAACCGGGCAGTCTTTGATTGTGAATAATATTTGATAGAAACAAGATAGAGGGCTGCGCCTTGGATCGTTTAACCAAGGCTGTCTCAATGCGTAAGGATGATCCAAAGTCATCGACTAGCCTTTGATAGTAAAGAATTCTTGACTTCTTATTGAATAATACAATAAACTATAGAATGAAACTGTCTGTTTCGAATAGTGAAAAGTAACGTAAGATAGCCTCTTTGAAACGGTGAAAGAAGGTGCTCTCTATCTTGTTTCTATCAAAAGTTATTTGCAATCAAAGACTTCCAGATTACTTTAGGGCTACCATGAATATTTGGTTTTTGCAAAAATACAACTGTGCACTAAATTTGAACAGAAAAATCCAAATTTCTTCTTAACTTCGAATCACCACTGTTTTGATATTTTCTGCATGTTTAAGTTTAATGGATTTCTTGCATCTAAAGCCATTTTCATCATTAATGTACCTGGTTGCATTGAAATCTGAGCATGTAATAGTTTCAATTCAGCACTTATTGGAATTTATCAAGTTTTTCAGAAAGATGAAAAACAAATAAAATAAAACTGATGCCGATTAATAGATTAGTTCATGTTCTACCCAACTATATCAAAATAATAGAAAGTTAGTCGATACAGAATATTTGTTGTTGGAGCAAAATTTAAAATGTAAGCACCTGGTCAATCTTCGAACCGTATTTGTCTATTTTCTAGAGATATTTACCGATTTGTGTAAGTCTTTGCTCATCAAAATGAATCCGAAAACTAGCACAGCTAGCATCAGTCGATAGGGAATTTTATTCTTTCTGCTTTCGCGACTCTTTCAAGGCTCTAGGTGCTATTGCCAAGGGAAAAATAACGGACCTCATGTACAATAAACAACGGTAAAATTATGTTAAAAATACTTCTAAAGAGCAATTCGATATAATGGTAATAGTATCATAAAAGAAATCTTATACATCATCTGATTCTCAATATAATATTGTTAGAATATCATATTTTCATTTAGGTGAATTAACAGTGTAGCAAATTTATTTATTTTTGAACAATTACCAATCGTATTTCCAAAACTTGATTGATTATCATTATCAATTAAAATTCCTAATGGCTTGCAGGTATTAATGATACTTCTTCTTTCAAACATGACTCAAAATTAAAAAAAGATGAATATATTTATTGAAACAATTTGTGATTATAATATTCTAGAAAAATGTATGTCATTACTTATTGATTATGTGTATAGACATCATCTCGATCAAGTTGATGTTAAACTTGCCAATTATCAATTGTCGTTGTGTTTTTAATTGAATGAACTCTATTTGAAATTTACGCGCTTTTAAAAAAGAAATCGCTTATTAATTTTTTTGTGAATAAAATCGAATGGATCCATTCGTTTTGTCGCGTAATGCTTTCAATGTCTATTGCTCCGAATATGCTAATACCAATTCATCTACTACTGTGACTAATAATAATAATAACAATCAATCAACAATTGATGCAAATCATCTCTCAGTATATCAACCAGAAAAAGTAAATCAAAATAATTTATATTATGAGAAAGCTATTCATACATTAAATCAACGATATGAATATTTTTTACAAACACTCGATCGATTACAAATATCATTTGGACAAATAGCTAACATAATATCACACAACAATCGTAATATTAATTCACTGACCAATAATGATAGAGAAACTTCCAAATCATCATTTTCTACTAATAAACGAAACAATAAGAAACATTTACATCAATCAATTAAACATCGTATGCCAAAACTATATATCACAGTTTCTTGTGCTGAACATCGTACACAGCAACAACCTAGTCTTAAGATAAACTAATGTTTTTTCGAAGCGATGGGGTTAATCTTGTTTTTTTTTTGCTTCAACGTTTAGGTGCAAGACAGCATTCAGATAAAAATTGATCACTTCTTCAAATCATATATTATTGAATTCTATGATTCGACTAGCTACATAGTTCATTAACATTGAAATACCCTATGTCAAGAAAGTCTTCGTACAAAATATTTGCTCATTTTTCAGTCACTCAGAAACAACTAGTGAGAGTCAAAAGCAATTAGTAAGACTTAGAATTTTTCGCTCTTTCCGAATATGGGC